GCAGGTAGGTCAGGGGGCTGGCAGGGATCCCCCCATGGTCCCCTCTCCTGCCCCTAGTATTTACCAGCTTGGGTATTTTGCCCTAAGTGGTACAATTTGCTCCACAACAAAGTGCATGTCTGAGCGCGTGCACTGAAGCAAAAAGCCCTGGCTCAAATTTGCATCACTTCTATTTGAGCTGCTGCAAGTGCACGTGCTTGCATGTGTGGACATGCCCTACTGGTCCAAGGACACAGCCTTGGGGGACACCACTGCCCACATCTCTCCAGGAGGAAACCGACCCATCCACCACTACTCTCAGGGTGCATCCCATAAACCAGTTTTTCACCCACCTTACTGTGAAAAAATCCACATCCCAGCTACTCATTTTACTTGTGAGAATTGGGTGCGACACTGTGTCAAAAGCCTTTTTAAAATTTAAGTAAATAACATCTATCTCCACTTCTGCAACTAAGCACTTTGTGACCTGGTCATAAAAGAGACCAGGTTAGTCAGGCAGAATCTGCCTGCTATAAATCCATGCTGGTTGCCCCTTAACATTGTATTACTTGCTGGCCCCTTGAAATGTGATCCTTGTCCCTAAGGAAAGTCTTGATTATTAGGGGTAAGATTATCTTTCACTATCATGGGTTATATCACAGCACTTTCTAGCTTTTGTAACACCTCAAAAGATAAAAAATGAATTTTCTTTAAAAAAAGTCAGACTGCTTGTACACACCATGGTGGTTTAATTTGGTTTAGTTCTCCCTAAATTGAAACAGTGGGTTTTTTAAAACACCATTTCAATTTAGGGAGAATTAAACCAGCCTAAACCCCTGTGGTGTGTACAGAAGGGTGGGGGCCCGATCCTTACCTGCCTCTTCAGCGGAGGGGGTGGGCGGGAGCGAGCTGCCAGTGGGCCTAGCAGTCCCTGAGCTGATGGCAGGCCAAGCGGTCCCAGGCAGCACCTGCCTGCTGGCACCGGGCCCAGGAGGTCCTGCGGGGTGCTGTAGCCCTGGAGGGAAGCACTAGCCTCCCCGCAGCTGTGGAGGGAAGCACTTGGCCCTCACACAGCTTGGGCAGATAGGCTCTGGAGAGAAAAAAAAAAATCAGGCTCACCACTTTTTTTTTCTCCAGTGGAGCCTGCCTGCATGGGCTGCCGCTGGGTCCCACAACTCCTGAGCTGCATGGGGCCCACCAAGTCCCGAGCACATTGGCTTCCAGTGCCCCATGCACTGTTGCACTTTGCAAACTGAAACACCTCAGAGGTGTTTTATCTTGGTATGTATCAAAATAATTTAAAGCGGAATACGATGCTGAGCATGCAAACAGCAATGCCATTAGAGTGGAATATGCCACCAAATGAGCAAACAGCAGCACCATTAAATCAGTGCAGAAGGGCATTTAAGCTGCTTTAAAGGACAATTTTGTGGTGTGTACAAGGGCCCAGAGACTCCAATCCCAATGCTGAGAAATACATCAGCAACTACAACTTGAACCCAAATCAGTCTGTTTGGAGCTCTGTTGCATTTTGCCCAGTCTGGGCCAGACTTAGGTCTTGCCTAGTCTTCTGTGACACATTCCAGATAGAGGACAACCCAATATGTTAGCATTGTTTTCAGAGCCCTGGACTGACTCTCAATCCAGGGTACAAGATGTATTTTCCTGATACAGCTCATAGATAAGATCAAAATGTTGGAAATTAGTATCCCATTTACAGGACAATTAAATCTCTTTTTAAAAACACTTCCTAAACTTCTAATCTAACCATTAAACTCACTCAAAGCATGTATGTTTTCATCATCATTTCCCATACCCCATTCACTTTCCTTATGTTCCGTATAGGCATCTGACTGAACAGTTTTACTCTTAGGAATGTCTAAGTATTTTTGTTATGGTAGATCCATTTGAACCCACTGGGCATGCTACCACATGCAGAGGTGTACGCTTGCAGCAGCAAAAATAGTAGCAGCACAAATTTGTTCTGATACGTTTTGCTGCAGTGCATGCCCCTGCATGTGCACTTTGGTGTGGGGCAAATTGCTCCACTTCAGGGAGACTGCCTTTTCCCCACTCCTCTCAGCTCCCAGTATGTTGGAGGAGCTGGGGGACAACTAAAGGAGCGGAGATGCTCTGGCTGCCTGCCAGAGCATGAGTATTCCCTCTAAGCTGTGCAGCATGCACAGCCGCATAGACATGCCTGGCAATGCGGCATGAGTGCGCTTGCGCAGCCACGCAAACCACATAGCTTAAAGGGAATGCTGCAGAGCATCTCCTGAGAGGAACAAGCCTCCATGTCTGCCAGTGCACATGTGCACCATGCTACTTTTTTCACATTTTTTTTCCTACTGGAATTTCCCAGTAGCAAAATTTGTCCCCGTTCTGCAAATTTGCAGCACGGGGACAAATTTGTATAATAATGGAATTGTGTAAATTGCAGATCTCTACGATGAAGCCATTGCTAAGCCACCTCTATCATTTCTGGAGATAGTATTGGTACTCTTTCATTGCATAAAAGGACATTGCATGACAAAAGGCTTCATTTTCCACATTAGCTTGCCAACCTGTCACTTTTTGTTATTGTATAATAAGGGAAATATCCATTTTTAATAATGGATGCAAACCAAGTTTTATTTCCAGTTATAATAAATAGATTTATACCAGTACAAGTCCATTGACTTCAAAAGCATTCAATCAGAGTTATATCCTGGTACCTGGCCTTGTGAGGGAATATTTGATGTAGGCTTATTTTTTCAGTTTTTATGCATGATGAAATATAATTGTTCATCAGAAGCCATCCTCCCATTGGCTACTACACTGCTATAGTAGCAGGGTGCAGAAATTCCTTTATTTCAATGATTCTTGAAGACATAGTCCAAAGAGAAATGTGAAAACTGTAAGGCCATTAATGTTTGTGTTAAAAAAAAAGTTTAACTTCACAAATCTATGGAAGAAAGATGATTTTCCATTGGTTGATTTGGACTTTTGGTTTGGTAAATGTCAGCAGCCATTAAAAATTCAGTATGGGGCACAGGGGGCCAAATTATCACAAGTATAATTCTAACAAATTGGTCTCTGGCTCAGATCAAAATATATTGATCTACCTGGAAAAAATAAAACAATCTAGACCTAAAGCATGATAAATAGTCTTTGCCTTGATAAACCAAGGCGCCTTTTCATCTGTCTTTCATTTCTCACCTTATAAAACCAAACTAAAGATTTGTTGTAACCACAAAAGCTTTCAAATTACCCTCGATGTGTAATTTTTGTCAAGTATGCAGTAAATTTAAATTTGCACTTCTTTTCCTCACACCAATGAAAGGTTTCTTCTTTTTTGTGCCCGTGTGTATTTGTTTTGTTTTTACTGTGTCGTATAAGAGTTCTCCTTGTTTGGAGCTAAGGGTTAGGTTATCTGTGCTCTTTGGCTAACACAGTTCTGCACATGAGATATGGACATCTAAGTTGTAGCCGCTACTTTTGGAACTTCATTCGTTTCGATGTCGTTGCATACAGTGAGCGATAACTTAATTCTTATGAAGCCAATAATGCAATTATAATTCTTGAGGAATTCCTTTTGGTTTGGTTATATTTATTTTTCCAAACATTTTGTTTGAGAGAAAACGAGATTGCTATCTACTGTTTCCTTATTTTTTTGCAGGAAAGCAAAGGGTTGTTGACTTCCTCTCCCCTCCCTTCCTTCCTTCTTTCTGAAGGTACTGTACTCATCTGAAAAAAGGGAACGAAATGATTGTTCCTGTTCTCTTTCTTAAGTTGTTTCAGACACTGTCCCTGCTAGTTTTCGAAGTTTACTGCAATCTCCACACACGGGGGGAGAGAGAGAGAGAGAGAGAGAGAGTACAGAGAGTGAGAGCAATTGCCAGCAAGAGAACAGGTAGGGAGTATAGGGCAGGGATCATTCCAGATTCAGCAACTGGTAAGTTATTCATGAAAGTATTTTTGCTTAATGCTTTAGAAGTTTAACATACACCTTTACATTCAGGAAGATCATTCATCAAATACAGACTTTTCTTGTTAAAAAGATGATGATTGTGTACATTGGCATACAGTATATATTTAAACTTTGGATATCAATAGTCTGTTTTCTTGATACCACCATTAATAGCATGAAGCTTAATCTAGGATATGTTGTCAATTAACTGGATAATATTTGCAATGTTAAATTATATAACTCCTTGCTTATGAAGCTGGGTAGGTGACTTCTTACCAGGAGTCTCTGTAGCTTATTATAGGCTTCATTCACTCTCTGTTAAAGTTTTGAGCAAGCTTCACTATAGCCATAGCAGAGGTAGAGATAGGTAAGTGGGTAATTTATGGCTTGTGTATTTTATGTATCACCTGCCATTAACATCCCAGGAATTCATTAAAATGGTAAATCAAGCCACTGAGCTTCAACCAGTGTGTCAGCAATGAGGATGAATTGTTTTTTTTATAAATAGAACTGAATTGTGTGTGAGTATATGTGTGTATATCTCAGCACTTGTGCTTATGTATATAGTCTGAGAACTGTCATTTGACTAGTTAAGCAAATTCCAGTTTCATTTTAAAACCAAAGACTTAACGTGACAAAGTATGTAACCAATACTAAGATTAATTACCACAGCTCATGAAATGATAAACTAAAATGCTGTGAATGCATTTACAACCCTTATCTACCACTGGCTTGTCAGCTATAGTTTCCGAGTATCAGATACAAGATACTTAATGTAAGTTAGCAAAGGTTTACTGCACAGCGAATACTGAAATTTAAGCATGCGTTTTATTTATTGTAAAGCAAGCGAACAGAAAGATCAGCAGAGGCAACAAAGATTAGAATAGGTTTTCTGTGAAAAAACCCAATCATCCCCTAGGTTAATGCTTATTTGCAAGTGGAGACTTTCTGATCTTTAGTACCTTTTGTTGGATGTTTAAAATCTCGACAGTGTTGTTCTAAATAGGGTGTGGGAACAGGGCATCCTAGAACTGATGCAGACAGTCAGCTTTGGCATCTAGTAGAGCCTCTGAACTCTATGGGTACTAGAAGTGAATGCCTTTTCTCGGGAGAGGCATAGTTTGCCCCTCTGATTGAACAAATTGGTCAACAGATCCTTTTACCCTCCCTCTGCCTCCTTTCTACGAGTTTTTCCATTGCAGATAGTGATTTACTCCAAATTACCAAGATCTCCCTTACCTTCCCCACAGCCCCGGCACATATTAACATAGTGATAACAGGAGGAGTAACTGTTTACAGATATCAGTAGTGAAAAGCATCAAATTTGTCTAGTTTGGTGCAATTATGAGCTTTGTTTCTCCCACAAAGAGTTATGCCACTATTATAGAGAGACCTCTTTTCAAATGCACACATGAAATAGGTTGGGCATGTTTTTCATTTGGGAAATTGGTTACCATTTAGCTGATCAATTGTCTGTTTTTCCTGACCAAACATGGATTTAAACAATCAAATGGGGATTTCAGCACCTGTTTTGGCAACTACATTTGAAGATTGGATCTTCACCTCTATATCAAACAGAGAAGCCACTTGCTTAATCAACAGCTTCTGTGGTTGTTAAAACAATAAATAAAAGCTCAAACTGCCAAATGACCATGAAAATAGCAAACACCTCTAAGTTCTGGACTAGTTGGATCCAGAAGTTTGTTTCAGCCTACAATAAAGACAGGAGCCAACTGCACAGTTTATATTACAACGTTTGAAAAATTATAAAAAATCATGGATGTTTGAGGTCATTGTTTGGGTTCATGCTTCCAGACCTTTCTCCAAGAGCTCTAGGAAAAAGGTAATTCTCCAAGTCTAAATGAAAGAATAAAAACACCCCTCCCCAAGCATAATTTATATTTGTAGTAAGTAGTCAAAAGTAATATCATGCTATTTTAAAACTCAGTTCCCCATTAACATTTTATTAAAATAGCCCTGCAGTGTAATACTGCGTAATTTAACTGTAACTGGAAAGTGGAAGATTTGCATTTATTCTTGGATTTCACCTTTCAGTTTCATTTTTGTTTGATGCAGTATTTCAGTTTTGGTCACTTGCAGCTTTTTTTGTACATTTTTATTCTAAGCACATGACAGTAGAATTTTATATAAAGATAAATTTAAAAACAGGTGCACTTCTCTTTGAGAGTTCAGGAAAGGGAGATTTTTGGCTGATATGTTCTTAGCTCACATTGTGAGAGAGTAACAGGCAGAGAAACATCCCTTATGAAAACAAAAAACTTTGTACAGAATAGTAACTGGTTTATGGCAAAAAGCTGAATGTTTGTGAAATGTGGTTTTAGTGATTCATTTCTATACATCATTTAAAAAGAAATTGTTTTCATGGAAGCAATGACACAGATATTTTTTTACTATGCTTAAAAACTTGGTTTTTAATAAAGATACTAGTAACTTCTGAGAATTGTTAAAGTCAAACCATTTCATTTTAAATAACGAGAAAGTCATCTTGAAAACTACTTCAGTAAAAAAAATGACAATATGTTCTCGTGGTAGATATACATATAAGAGAACCCAGTCCCACAGCCCTTAATTTCTGTGGGCCCATGGAAGTCCAAGGACAAAGAACTTGATCAAAAACCCATCAATGGCAATGGGTGTCTTTCTGTAAACTTCAGTAGGCCTTCTTTTGGGAGGCAAGAACCGTAGACTTAGGGGTAGATTCTCTGCTAACATAAATTCATGTCAATCTGTGTGTTACCAATGGCAGCGCACAGATTTTCATCAGAGAAACCTGTTCTCTGGCACTGCATGTTTAAAACACAATATTTCTTCTCACATTTTAGCAACTATTTCATGGTTTTTCAGCAGTGGGAGAATTTGATCATTGAACTATCTGGTATTTTACTCAGAAATCTAGAAGAATCTCAACCTAGTGCTTATGATGTAGATATACAAAGTGCCTAGAGCACTGGAGGACACATATCCAGAAGAGAGATACATTGGTGTGGCAGCATGGTGCACGTGTGCGCTGGCAGACATTGAGGCTTGGTCTGTTTGTGAGGTAGAATTATGATGGAAGAAAAATTGATGGTAGGTTCAAACCAACAGCTCAAAACAAACCAAGCATACAGCATAGATAACCACAGTCATAGACATGCATCACTGTGGCTCTGATATAGTAAAGACACCTGCATGAGTGGACCATTTCTGATATGCAGTAAGTGCTATATACAGCCAGAAAGTAGTTGAAGGAGTTTAGTTGGTATTTAATCAACAGACCTTCGACACATTTATTTCCTGAAAGCCATATTTTCTCCTAAGCATCTTCTTGGAAAATATTGTTAAACCAAATTAACTGTTAAACCTTTTTAAAAAAATAGTTTTTCCAGTCCTACTCCCCAGTCCAAGGGAGCTACTGAATAGGGTGAAAGATCAGGTCGGGTCAGAGAAAAGAGTTTTAGCCAGAAAAATAAACTAAAGCTTTTAAATAAAGGAAGGATTTGCAGGGAAGCTAGTTGGGGAAAGCAAACATTGGGAAAGCCAGATACCACCCTTCTGTTCTTGTAGAAATAGTCGACAGTGCTAAAACTAACCTTAAGCTAGTAGTTACAATGCTGGTAAAGTTATAATGGCATATTTTAAGAGTGATATTGAGTGAAAGGGTTAACAATGTTTGCCCAATCAAGACTGAACTAGATGAACATTCAGCAGTTATCTGTGATAACTATTGTACTATACACAGGATGTCTGACTTACTTGTGTATCCATTTGGCAGGGATATTGTCTTGCGTATAAAATTCTAATGATTCTAGGAAATAATCCTATCTTTTTGGAAAATGTGTTTAACATTTTTGTTTAACAATCAGCTATCTTAAAGCTATGCACCAGAGTCTGCACTACTCTGGTTTGGTTAGTCAGAAAAACATGTCTCTTATAAACTGATGACTATAAGGATGCTACAGTGGGGGTTCTGTGAAATGAAACAATTGCACTAAAACTGGTCCTGTATTAAAAGAAAATATTTGAGATATTTCTGAATTTTTTTTGAAAATGTATAAATATTGCCCTGTTTGGTGATACACACTCTCTTTATTCCCCATTTCTTTTTCACAGTTTGGAGACTTACATTATCAGTGGCACTCAGGGATTCAAACTGGGCAGGAACAAAATTATTTTCTTTCCCAGCTGCATCAAGCAGAGCAAATACTTTTTGGTTCCCCTTTTTAGATTTAAGTAGGTGAAAGCAAAAACAGTTTAAACAATTTAAGGAATTTAAAAAGTAAATTCCAGTTTAAAAGAAATGGGAGGGGGGAATGTTTCACTAACTGGGAAGCAAACTTCCCTGCCCCCTATGGATTTTTGCAAATGGATTAAAACTGAAAATATCCCAATTCCAATGGCCTATTGAATTTGGGAATGTAAGGTGTCATTTCACATGCACAGGATTCCAGAAGCCGGAAAAAAAAGCTTTTGAAGATTCCTGCCCTAAAATTATGAGAGATACAAGGCAAAATCAGTTAAGAAGTCTGGGGAGAGCCTCACTTCTCAGTGAACAGAAAAATCCACAATCCACTTTTATATAATTGGTTAGGAAGAAGTGTGATTCATTTGAAATTTGTAGCTGTACTTCAACAGGACTGTATTACTTTGGTGGTGGGTGCTATCATCATTATTATTATTAGGTAATGCTGTACTAAAAGGAGAATGCTAGCATCTATCAATCAGATATTAAGTACTTGATCTTTGGGGCTAGGGACAGAAATTACACATAAACCAGTATAAGTGATCAGAAACCGGTTCAAATATGTAACATAATACAAGTTCAGTTCACATAAACCACTTTCAAAATGGCCAAAACATGTTTAAGATAAACATGGATGGATGTAGTATCAGACTTAACTGATTTAGGTTAAACTGGTTTATTGAACTTCTGTTCCAGATTCAAGTTAACTCACAGCTCCCAGCATCCCAGGATGCTTTGCACC